TAACGTTTTAATTGTTGTTTGCCGTAAACGTGCTTTTAAACCTTTCTGAATAACACTTGAGCCTTAAATAAGATGGGCGAAACTTATGGTCAACTTCGTCGAATCAGTATCGACAGCCCCTGTGTTTCACAAACTTCGTGCTCCTCCTTCTTTGAACCATCTTAGATCCACATACAAGGATACAAGGCTGATCGCTGAGATCACCTTGTAGAATCGTTTATTCGAGTCATGAAAACGGCGATTATTAAACCAATACCAAGGTTACACGTCACCTTATTCAGTGCAGACAAGTTTGTTGTGTTGTGTCCGAAATCTTTAGAGGATTAATTTTTTTTTGGTCAGAGATTAATGTGATCTTAAGACATTGTTTCTGGAACTTTTATTTTTGACGAGATATTTGTTGTTTCCAAAAATTGTTAAGCTGATAAGTCATCAAATGGAGGGAAACAAGAGAGAATGAGCTATCAGTTAGGGAAACGATTGCAAGCCAGCCGTCATCATGACTAAGGCCGGGGATAGGTGCAAGGAGCAAAGTTATGAAACTGTTTTTAAATTTGTCTTGGCATGGAAAGACTCAACCAATCTTCTTATTTGTTTAATTTGTTTTTGTCGCATACGAAAAAATGCCAAACTTTAAAGCGTGAAACTTAGCTACTGAGTGGTAAAAAAGGAGCCTGTGTGAAAAGGGATGAATAAAAAAACGATCTCCCTTCACTTTTAGGGTTCGCCCTTTATAAGAACCTACAGACTTTATAGCAACCAACAGACTTTATAAGAACCAACAGATTGTTAACGATTTAAACTTGTCGAACGTCTGTGAGCTCCACAAGTCTTTAAACGCAACTTGAACATTCATTTCTACCAAAAACTTAAGAGAACTCCATTACTCCAAAGACCGCAAACGGCTGGTATGTTGAAACTGCTTATATAACGCGAAGATAAAAACCTGTTGGTCCAGTTCTTATCCTGTTGTAGAATGTTCTACTAGAAAGATTATGTAATATTCTAATTGGGTCCTTAAAATAAACAAACAGTCAAAACAAAGTACTCAGCGCAAACGTGTCTGTTCCAGCACGAGTGTTTCTTCTTCAACACAGATCTGACTGAACTTAATACACTATATATTATTTTTGTTGCAGTATTTAGCCAGTGAAGATGAAGGTTTCAGGAACTTCCGTTAAACTTGTCCTTCTTTTTTTTACTGCTGTTGCAGGTAATGCATTTTATCTTGCAGTGCTGTTGGCTCAGGTTTTTATGCTGCAGGCTATGCGCATGCGTTTCTTGCTCCAGATAAGCCACAGTGATCACCTCCACACATAATTTGCCTTATTTTCTTCAGGATTAAAATTCTCTCATTTTCTATTATCTAAAAAAAGCAAACTTGATCAAGTACGATTTCTTGTACACTGATAGATTTTATCGATTATTTGTCCCCTGATCATGAGATACCACGTGACATTGTTTTTGACCCATCAGTCCTTGGGCTCGTGCAAAGATGGCGGATGTCGTTAAATAGCCCACGTTTGACATTAAAATTCTAACATGACTCCGAGGCTTTAGGGTTATAAATGCAATTTTTTAACTACTCCATTGTCTCGCAATTCCCAAACGAGACTTGAACACAAAGAAAACCAAACCAAATGTAGAAAATGACCAGAAAGCCTCGGAGTCATGTTAGAATTTTAATATATCGAGCGTAGGCTATTATCATTCCATGCAAATTGTTTTTTTCACTGGCCGAAAGCCCAACACGTGACCTGCTAAAATCTGCCTACAAATAATGGTCTGCTCATACGCAATGTGGTCCAATTGTGTTTGGCTTTAGTGTTTGGCTGCAAATAATATTCTGCCCATGCGTAGATGGCAGATCGCTTCGTTCTCCGTCATTAAAAAACAAACTTGGTGATCGAATAATAAAACAATTAGTAAACTCGGTTATCGCAAAATATCGTGATTTGTCATTGTCTCGTAGATCAATTATTTGCCGCTGCCTTCGGCTTCGGGAAATAACTGATCTGCTTGCCACTGACAAATCACGATATTTTGCTCAACCAGTCAACTTCGTCCAATAATTGCTAAATATGAATCCTTCAGAACAGCTGGATTACTGTACTTTTAATCCTTTCACTGCCAAAGGTGGCCAAAGTTAAGAATTCAACCAAATCTCCAAATTTCATTTTGTAAAATACTGAAATGCAAAGAGTACCAAGTGAAAGCACTGCCAAAGATGTTAAGACGGAATCCATCAGGAAATTGAGTAATTTTAATTTTCAGTGGACAAAAACCTTGTACCCCTGATTATTTTAGGCCATGCCGCACTCCGCTTTATAACACTTTTCAAGGGTTATCTGTAATAACACCAAAGAAAAGTTCCCATCAGAGCCCGAGAAAATAAATTTAAAATTTCACAGAACTTTTAAGACAACACAAAATCGTCATGAGTAAGTTTTCATTTAGTGAAATTTGATGCTTTTGAAGTTTGTTTTATTGGGCTCCCTTTGGAGTTATTTCCATACTAGTTACATTCATAGCCCTCGAAAAGTGTAAAAAAGAATACAATATGATTGAAATTATTCTGGCACAAGGTTTTTGTCCACTGATGGATTCCGTTTTAATACATTGGAATGGTCACACCAAAGATTTTTGTTCACAGACTGAAATGTAGCCTATTGCGTCATGTCATTAACGCATTCCACACGGCAAATTAATCTGAGATTCCTCGGCAAAAAGGAGGACAAACTCCTTTACCACCCATGTCTAATACTTTTGCCCAACCTGAGTCGTTCATCCACAATACGTTTGCGTATCATATATGATTAATGTTTCGTACATTCACACCAAAAACAGTAACGATATCACATGCTTGACAGGGGCGGATCTAGGGGGAGGGTGCAGGGGGTGCGCATCCCCCCCCCAGATGACCTGCGGTTTTCTAATAAAACTGGTATTCTGCAAAAAAAAAACTATGTGGTTTATTGGTGTTGAAGGAGAGCAAGAGACGAGTGCACCCCCTCCTAAAAGAAATCCTGGATCCGCCCACGTTTGAACATTGCAGTAGAAGGAATAATTCCTAATGAAGATAAAAAAAAAAGAACATCCCTTCTGCGGATCCTACAAACTGCAAACTTATCTTTCTTTTCAATTTGATTAGTTTACTTAATCACATTTTCTTCGCTTCGATTTGAATTTAGCCTTGCCCTCTGATCGGAAGCAGACGCACGAAGGTGACAAAACTGTTTGGGTTCGCTCGTCGTTCGGTAAGTAAAAGAAAATTAAGAAAGTTAAAAGAAAGTTAAAGAAAATTAAACTTGTTAAGAAACCTTGTTTTCTCGTATTTTTCTTTTTTTGATTTAGTGCAAACTCGAAATTATAGAGAGGCTTGGTTAGTTAATTATGGAAGCTTCCCATCGTACGCGAGAAAAAACCTCTGGTACCCAGGGTAACTTCTTGTTGATTGCACCATAAAAATAAACGTATAAAGGAACGACGTTTCGACCGTTCGAAGGTCGTTTTCAAGTGCAGAAGTAAAATATTAGAATGTGCTTATACATTAGGCAAGAACAATGAAGAGAGAAAATCCTTTGTTTTCTTTCGTGAAGATAAAAATGTGTCCAAATTTCATGATTCCTTAAAGGTGATGTTACACGAGACGAGTTTGAGCGCAACACAGCGTAGCAAGGATATTTATAATTCCTGTTGTCCCCTAAAAGAAGTAAAAGTTTCGAAGTATGCGCTTAAAAGACCGTGGTTATCGGTGGGCCTGCTCAATACCACTAAGAGGAAGAACAAATTGTACACCTGGAAACTTATGTATTCTTTTAATAATAATTTAATTCCTTCCGGTTTTTCCAGATCCATTTTACTTACTAATCAAGTAACCCAAACATTCGTTGAAATCCAGAGATAAAAACTTTTTTCTATCTTGTTATTGAATTCATAACTTAACTCGGCTCAGTCTCTGTATAGTTCATATTTTTAACGTATCACCCCGGGGGGGAGGGGGAGGGACTCCGCATATGAAAGCGGTGGGGATGCTCGTCGTCTTCGCTAACGGCGAAGAACATTTTACGGCAGTATGCCAATGAGTTTAGAACGGGTGCGGGAAACCCCACGGGACACCTATGCATATTGCGTTGGACCCCCCTGTTATACCTGTACATGCCCCAACACGCCGACCTGCCTGCGCAAAGTGAAGAACTGAAGAGGCTTTGTGAAGAAGGGATTATTAGGCCTGTTACCCAACCTACAGATTGGCTGTCAACATGTTGGTTAAAGAAAAACCAAACGGCAAATTTCGCATCTGTCTTGACCCAAGCCAGACCATAAATAAGTCGATTAAGAGACCCAAATACACGATACCGACCATCGAAGAGAAGGTTCCTCTAGTAACAAAAGCCAAAGTCTTCACCACTCTTGATGTATATCTGAAGCATTCCAAACCATTGTACTGGATGGAAATTCCTCTCTACTCACGACGTTTCAGGGGCCAACCGGTCGCTATTGCTATAACCACATGCCGTTCGGTATTGCTTCTGGTCCGGAGGAATACCAGCGGCGGCAGCATGAATTCTTAGTCGGTCTAGGCGGTGTAATTAACATCGCCGATGATATTTGATTGTATGGGTGGGGCGACACAAAGAAAGACGCTGACATCGACCACGACCGAAACTTGGTGCAACTCTTGGAGAGGTGTGCTGAACACGATCTACAGTTCCGCGAAAAAAACTTCAGTTCAAATCTCCATCTGTCACTTTAATGGGGCACAAGCTTACCCATAAAGGGGTGGAGCCCGATCCTGCCAAAGTAGCCGCCATCAGAGAAGTGCAAGTTCCAACCGAGAAAGCTGCATTGCAACGCTTTCCTGTGAATGTGCCAATACCTGTCCAAATTCTGTCACAACCTGTCCAAAACAGTCTTGCCGTTGGGGAACCTTACCAAAGATGACTGTAGTTCTTTGTTCTGAAAGTCACGAAACAGCATTTAACTCAGCTAAAAGTCTCCTGGCCTCAACAACAGCGCTGCGCTATTATGACACACACCTCCTAGTGACACTTAAAGTACAGAGAAACCCCGCCTTACGGCCACTTTTTTCGGCCGCTTAGCAAAAGCTGTCTTACACTTTCTTGTAAAAAAAAAAACCCTCGTTAATACGGCCAAATTTTTTTCGCTTAATGGTGCCCGTATTAACTGGATTCCACTGTAGACGCATCTGACCATGCAATAGTTGGGGTTTTACTAGGAGAGGGGCCCCTGTCTGTCTCATTTCACATACCAACAGCAACACAGCAAAAACTATGCTCAAATAGAGAAAGAGAGTCTTGCGATAAATGGATAAATGGCATTGCTACTTGTAAGGTAATCATGAGATCACAGCCCACTCAGACCACCAACCCCTGGAGACAATCTTTAAGAAACCCTTGAGCAGAGCCCCCGGCAGATTGCAAAGAATGATGCCGAAGTTGCAGAAACACCAGTTCACCGCTCGTTATAAGAAAGGGAAATAGCTTTTTGTAGCAGACACTCTGTCTCGCGCAGTCACCAGTTCATGATGGGGCGGGGGGTTGGGGGTTAGAGGGGGCTTGCGCACCCTGTACATATTTACAGATGACAGCGCATTAAATTATAGTACTATTGAGCAGTTTTAGCATTACATTGACCTGCTGATAATTTTCTCAAATTGCATGTTTAGGTACTGTTGGATTGAGGAAGGATATCTAGAGTTTAGTACTTCATAGTTGTTTACAGTTTTTTTTACATTCAATTTTATTTATTTATTTATTTATTTATTTATTTATTTGTCAGGGTCCTGATAAAACGAAATGATTTCGTTTTATCAGGACCCTACTGTAAAACACTTAAGTGAATCCCGGGTCCTGAATAAAGATTGATTTTAATTTATTTAAAGGCCCCAAGCTGCCTGAGCCTCAGTTACCCAAACCAACCGCACTAATGGCAAACCCGATAAAGAATAAAAATGCAAATGCCGGACTTGAACAATACAAACAACTGCCGTCAAATGTGGAGGTCAAAATTGCGATGGTAAACGGTAAGTATTTTCTCTTTTATAGTTTCCATTCATTTCGACGTCTATATTAAACTTACAATGAAAATCCACCATGAAAATAACTCTTCTTTATGATGCTCCTTCTTTCAGATAATGTCAACGCGGTAATTAGAAACCAACAGGGTAAGCGCAGTTTTAAACAAACAAAAAAATTAGCAGCCTTCAAAATTCTTATCGATACAGCGCTTATTTACAAATTTTGTCGCTTATTATCCCAATACTCTGAGAAGTTTTTGTTTAGTTAACTTGATTTTAACCTCATCCTCAGAGCACTGGGGAAGAGATTGACTCCATATGCCTCTTCGCCTCTTCTCTACCCGGAGGGTTTTAAATTTCCTGGACGTTATTTTATTTCAGATCTGGCGAACTTTATGTCCCAGATGTTTGAAGGTAAGTGAAACAGCTTTTTGGAACAAAAAACTTGCTATTTTTCTCCTTGAACTAAAAGAATTCTGCAGTCCACATGTGCGATCGGAATTCGGACTCGGCTGTTCTCAAGCTACTAAGGCTTTCGAAAGCAAATGTACACATCGGTACACTGCATGGGCTGACCAGTGCGGCTGGCAGCCATGCAGAGCAGACTCTACTAGAGTGTTCCACCTCCCAATGATAAGGCTAGGGGGAGCAGAGATGGGGAGCTATTTGGCAAATTTTATCGGTCTATTTTATTTATTTTGTTACTGCGAAAGTTGATAAGGCTTCCTGACATCGCATTAATATTTTACAAATTCGCAAGACATGTGATGTTTACTTCAATAAAAACTAATAGGGACACTGAGGGTGCAGTCAGAAATTGCTTTAAGCTTTCAAAGTAACTTACAAAAAATGTGTCAGGTTCATTTCTTTTGGAGCGAGAAGACAACTCCTGTTTGTTTTGCCTCCGTCACCAATAAGTAATAGGCCAGTTGCACTGAGAGGTCACGTGACCAATGCTTCCTTCCAACGATGCGTTGGAATCTTGCTGATGCCAAAAATTGACAGAGCACATAAAAATTATCTTACTCCCGAAATTTGAGAGGAAACACATTTAAGGGAGATATTTTATGGCACTTTGAGTTTTCAACAAAGCAGTATGATTTGTATTGGCCGCCATGTTGGAGGGCATACTCTTGCCCTCCAACATGGCGGCCAAAACTACTTTTTGCTTATATCTTGTTAAACGTTTGATAGTTACGCTCAGATGTGCTGTAAACGTCACCACATCATCTTTTTAACATTTCCCTTGAACTTTAAGTGCAAAATTTGTGTTCTGAAAGATGTAATACTTAATTTTAAAAATCACATTTTGGTCACGTGACGAGCTACGAACTTACTCATTTTAAGAAAATGGTGCGGGTTTGAAAAACCAAATTTCTATTATTTTGTTTAAGATATGACCCACTAATCGTTTTTCGAAGGCAAAATCATATAACTTTCATTTTCATAAACAAGATGTCACATGACCTCTTAGTGCAAATGGCCTATTAAGGCTCTATACAAAAGGTCTAGACTAAAGCCTGGTTTTCACTAGCGCGTAAGCGTGAGCATAAGCATAAGCACAAGCACATATGTAAGCAAGTGAAAACTGGGTCGACATAAATATAAGCACAAAAAAAAACAGACAAGTTCGTTCTTCTTGTGCATTTGCTTATGCTTATGTCGTAGCTTCGACAAGTGAAAACTGGGTCAATATAAGCACAAGTATAAGCACAAGGCCGTGGACCAATCATAGGTCACTTTGACTCAGACCTCATGCGAGCATATCAAAAGCAATATGGCGGACGCTTCGTCCGTCATCTTGTTCATCATTGGGTTGAGGAGAGCTGGTATCGAGAATTGAGTCAAATTATGCCATTCTGCGCGTGCGTGTGTCCTTATGCTTATGCTTATGCGCTAGTGAAAACCAGGCTTAAGGGTGCGTTTCTTTGAGATGATCCGGATTAGGATCAGTGATCTGAGATCACTGATCGGATCATGGTAGATCAAATGAACCGATGAATCCACTCTGAACAAGGATTCATCGGTTCATTTGATCTACCATTATCCGAGTGATCTCGGATCACCGATCCTGATCCAGATCATCCCAGAGGAACGCACCCTAAATGTAGGCTGGCTGAGACGCAGGCTATTGAAGTGGAGAGCCAGTTTCTTGGTTATTTTTAGCCTGCGTGGCAGGCGTTTGAAAGAGAAGGGAAAGGGAGTTTTAGGCGCGAGCAAGAGAGGATAAAGGGGACAGAGAAGGCAACCCCATACACACCCTATTCCATAGGTAATTCGTCTCGAGTTATTTTTAAGACCGCAGATCCCAAGGGGGATTAGACAACAGCCAATCACATAGTGCGAATGTGTTCCGCGCGGATGACCCACGCTTAGAGCCACGCGTCCTTCACGAATTGACGAAGAACAAAATGGCGGAAGACGCGGAGAGCGATATTGCTATTCGTTTTGTCGACGAAAACGACTACAGAGAGATTTCTGCTACAGCTGTGTCATCGAGACGGAAATTAAAAAAGAATCGCCCTTCCTCTCTTGTATAGAGCTAACAGTACAGCAGGAAAATCCTTAACACACTAAATATTCTCTCAGGATCATTTATAATTTACATGTTGAAGAGAGCAATTTCTGGTTTGATATTTATTCTTTTATCAGTCTTTTATTATTCAACAAAAATAACACTTGGCGTCCTACTTGCTTTATTGTACAAACGACCAGTTTCAATAGACCGGCGAAATTTCTCATTTTATTAAAGCACTGAGGTTACGACAACTTCGAGCTAAACTGATTTCACGGGTTGTCAAAGAGTCTAGCGATTTCCTTTTCCCAGGTGAGCGCCGACTCATTTCGCGTCAATATTCAGGAATGCTCTCGATATCTTTACGCTTTCATTGCCTTTCGCGCGACATGTTTTGCACGGCGTTTAGTCATGCGAAACCTCCACGAAACATCCACGCAGCGCGCGAGGTAACTTTATCCCGATTCTAAAAATAGCTCGAGACGAATTACCTATGGAATAGGGTGTGTATGAGGGATGCCTTCTCTGTCCCCTTTATCCTCTCTTGGCGCGAGAGAAACGCGAGAGGCGCCCCTTGCGTTTCTCTCGCGCCTAAAACTCCCTTTCCCTTTCCTTTCAAACGCCTGCCACTTAGGCTAGGGTATTTTAAAATAAACATGAAAATGTTTCTGGCATCTTTAAGGGGACTATCCTCGCACCTTCGACCCAAAAAGCTGTTTAGCCTTTTAAGCAACGCTTCATGGCTTACACAACCGATTTTCCCGCACTTAGTATGCATGTACACCTGTGTTCAGACCTGGGTTTCATAAACATGATTCGCCGGCTAAGATTAATCAGACATAACTTGCCGATAAACTTAAAGCAGCTAAAGGAATTGGCAGACCTCTAGCAGCTTTATGACCTCGCTTTATATTTTGTTAATTAAAATCAGCTGTGTAGTGTTTATGGTTTACCTCTAAAAACTTTCGGAACTTTGTTTGTTTCAGCCCTGTTTACAAACCAAGGAGGTAAGCGAAGCATTTTTCTGTTATTGATGAACTTAACTTTGCACCATAAAATCCCACACGTACCATTAGAAACGATCAAAACTACAGGTTTACTGCGACATATCACTTACGTGATTCACTAGATTGTTGCGCCGGTTACACGTTGCATCCGTTTACATACCCTTTTGCGTGTCGTTGCGCAAAGTTTGAAACCGCTCAAACTTTTAGGCCCTTACAAACAGACGCATGCAGAATTTGACACCAGTTACGGGAACGACTAAAGGATTCATTTTTCAAATAATCAATTCATTAATAGAATCTTGGGGGGGGGGGTACGGGTACTCTTGACCTGCTTTGACTAAAAAGAGGTCATGTCATCAGGATATTGCTGGTTTGTGATTAACTGGTCGATGAGTCATGCTTTACTTTGTGCCTTTAACCATACACAAAATGCTTCGTTGGAGATATGATTAAGTTATCCAACAAATTTCATTAGGGAGCGCTTACTATGATAATGGTAATGGTCGGAATTTTGCAGACATTGCATAAAACTCGAAAAAGTTGGCCCAACCCTTTCAAGTTTCAATCCATGTCCATCCTTGGCATCCGTTGCAACAGACGACAGAAAACAGTTTCAATATCAAAATATAATCTTAAATAACAACATTAGACCATTATTTTTTTTAATTTAATTGATGTGAAGACGAGTTTTAGCTTTGTTGTTTTAAAACTTACGAAAAAATATGTTTCAGGGCTACACCAAAATTTAAAGTACATAATAAACATGGTGGAGCAGATTCCAGGTAACAAAGGTGAGTTATTATCAGTAGTACCTTAAGAAAACAAGTCAAAGAAGTAAGAAAGAAAAAGAAAGAAATCTTATATACCCGGGAAAGATGAAGATGAAGCGATGAATATATGAATATCGTATATTAAAACCGCGGAATGAAGAAATAAATGCGGAGAAAAACATCACAGTTAAAGACGCAACTTACGTGGTTGCGAAAAAGAAAGCCTGAAAAATTTCGGCTTGCCGAGTATGTAACCGGGTATATTATGAACTAGTGCAATGAACAGCTTCCAGCTTGCTACCGTAAAATTCCGAAAATAAGACCCGGGGCTTATATTTTTCAAAGGCCCTTTTTGAGAGGCTTATTTTTGAAGGGGCCTATCTTCGGAGGGGCTTATCTCCGGAGGGAAATTTGCGTTTCAAAATTGATTGGGCTAGCCTTATAGTTGGAAGGAAATTTACCGTTTTTGCTTTGTCTTACTCTGTATTTGAGGGCAAATTCCAAGTACAAGCCCCCCGGGGGGTTTATATTTGGAGGGGCAATTTAACGGAGGGTTTTTTTGCGTTTCAGGCTTTCTTTTGGCAACTGCATAAGTTGCGTCTTTATTTGGGACGCGACGGCCGTCTTTGCATTTATTTCTACTTTGCGATTCGCAGTTACAATATATTAATTCATGTATTCATTATTTCAAAATAAACACAATTACGTTTCTTTTTTGTTATGAAAAATGACGGCCAGGTTCGGGCAAATTTTCGTGGACGCAAGGACAAAATACAATAGCTAGCCGAAAAGTCAGTAAACAAAATACCCCGAGGGTGGGGTACTTGGGTTAATTTTTGCTGGGCCAATTATAGACCCCATCTTAGTCCCTTTTGGGCAAATACTAAAAAATCGCGATCCCAACTTAGTCACTTGCTAGTTATAATTATGTAACTACCTTATATTGATTGAGAACGCTAGAAGTGAACAAATATCTGGCGACTTTGCTGTAATTCCAAACCTGAAGGCTCTGACTTCCATTCAGTCTAAAGGTTGGAGCTAGAAAGAGCAGCGGTAGCAGTAGTAGGAGTAGTAGTAGTGGTAGAGGAAAGTGGTAGCGGTCAGTGGTATAATACTGTTGTTATTATTATTAATTAATTAATTGATTGTCTGTGTGTTTTTTTTCAAGGTTGATGCCAGAAAATATCCACTTCATCAGATGGCCGCCTCTCTGGGAACCGGTCATTGGACTTGTCCCGTCATATAACGTTATACATAAAGTGGTAAAATTCCTGAAGTTAATTACAAATAAAGTAACTGAGATTTAAAGTTCTTCTCTTCATTGGAAGCCTTTTACTAACAAAAATAATTCTGAGTGGTCATTTGGAAGTGGGAGTGTTATATCATAGGGGACCCAGAATCACAACAGCCTACTGGAAGCCAAATTATAAGGATTTGTATGGGAATAGGCCCTTCGCTATAGCCAATCACGTGGTACAAAACCGCCTTACTGAAGAGCAAACGTTGCACTGGCACAAGACAAACAAAGGGAATTACCATTTAAAATTATGTCTGCCTTTTGTTTGTCTTGTTCCTGTGCGACTTTTGCTCTCCAGTACGGCGGTTTTGTACCACGTGAATGGCTAGCTGCAAAGGGCCTATTTATCGTAAGATCGACAAAACGGTTAAAATGTACATGAACAGCTATTAAAGTATACATATCTCAAAAAGACACGAGTTCTGTCTGTGTTGGTTTCTTACTGTTTTCTGTCCTATAAACGCCGTTTTACCAACTTTTAATGTAAACGTGTCTCAACTAAATCGGCGTTTATAGGGCAGAAAACAGTGAGAAACCAACACAGACACAACTCTTTATATGATAAAGATATGTCTGTATACTTAAGTAGCTGTTTATGTACATTTTAACCGTTTTATCGATCTTACGATAAAATTCCCATGCAAATCCTTATAATTTGGCATTCAGTAGGCTGATGCGATTTTGGGCCCTCTTAGGTTATATATGTCTTCGGTGGTTATATTACCACCTCAAGAAGCTTCTAGAGCAAACTAGTAGCCCCCCCCCCGGAGCCTTAAGGCGTCTTTGCTTAATGGTTTGGTTAAAACGTCTCCTATAGAGACCCGATCGCAAAGACAGGGCTATCCATGATTAAAACTGACGCCATGGAAGGATAGTAAGTTGAGAGTGTGAGAAAAAATATGATAGAAAGACATTTTGTTTTGGTTTACATCCTTATTTCACACATCATTAAAATTGTCATAAAAAGTTTTGAAACAAATCGCTACTGTCAGCTTTGGCACTCAAAACCCATGCGCCAGAATGACATATGGGATCCAATGGACTCGAACTATAATCAAGACAAGAGACAAAAGCTGTTGCAAAAATATATTATTTTTCAAAATTATGCTGGAAAAATATGAACATTATCTAGTCCACATAAAAAAATTCCGTACATAATCAGACAACTGCAGTTAAGTGGAAAGCTATTACTTTGACTACATCAGTCTATGACAAGTTTTTAGTTTTTCTTGAAATGATAAGGATAAAAGTTATTTTTCGTTAACTAAGCAACGACTCTCAGAAAACGTTAATATTCTAAAACAAAAACGGGTAGGAGATTAATTCCTCCTAAAAAACCTAAATTTCCTTTCATCAGATAAAAACTATTACTATATAACTAGACCTAAGTAAACAACGGCTGTCACAAAATGTTAATGTTCCAAGAGCAGAATATTAATCTTGCCTAAAAAACCTAAATGTCCTTCCGTTGGAAACAAATCCGCGTGAAAAGTCTCTGTCGTTTTCAAAGCAACAGGAATTATGTGTGCGGGACTGAACGTATTCGCCGTTGGCCGGCTCTTCGCTGGTTACACTGGACTGACTTGAGGTTTCGTGGGTCTGATCTGAAGCCAGTGAAATGGAGTCACATATTGATTCCATCTCAGTTAATGGTTCAAGCGAGGGAGTCAGCGGACGCTTCCGGCCCTTTTCTTCGTCCAAGTTGCCAAAAATGTGTGGAAGGTCCTTTGCAACAGAGTGCAGAAAAGGAAAATCGTCGGCGAGGGACTTGGTTTCTGGTGCAGATGCTTGGCGGACTTCAGGCGGGTTGGAAACGGCATTTTTGAGCGGAATAGAGTGTCGACTTGGGTACAAACAGGTTGCGCTGGACTGGTAATGAGTGACTGGGTCTTGCTGAGGAACCTTGCGCACTACTGCTGCCGGGAACCGCGGATAAAGTTGTTGCCATGGAATCTGCTTAGGTGGAGGAGGCCTGGAGATCCGAGTTGATGCTGGTGGCAGTGGCACTCCCACAGGGTAAGGCGTGGATGGAAACCGGTTGGTTTGGAACTCAGTAGAGCGACTAAAGCCAACGTTGCCATTGAGATATCTCTGGTAAGAGGTTGGAAACAACGAGGAACCTGGTAGCGCAAAGCGGTATCCGGGAACGGAAGATCCAGGGAGACTTTTTCTCAGCTCCTTTCTCCATCTGTGGCGGCGATTATTGAACCAGGTCTAAAAGAGTGCAGAAAAAAATATATGTCAATCATTGCTGCACTGAGAGCAAGTGAAATAAAGCTTTAGAATTCAACCATTGATTTATCTGATATTTCTATCCATTCCAAAAGGACGATATCTGCGTACAAGTTACTCGAATGTTCACGTGTAAAAATAGCGGTAGTAGACAAAAGAACTTAAGCCATGCAAAAGAAATATTTCTAACACGTTTACGTGATCATTTAGTAAGCAGATTTAATAGTTCAGAAAAGGCACCCACTTCGACAAGCATTGCATTTTCTTAATAAGTTAACTTAACCGTATTAATCATAGTGATACAGAGATGAAATTTGAATGATTTTTTTAGTGATTTTACAAAAACTGTAAAGATGAATTTTGAAACAAGATTTCCTTTTTCACCGCTTTAGCCATAAGTTCATCCGTTTTTGAACAAAAATTCAAGGAACAAAAAGGACCATGTTCAAAGCAAAAAAAAGATCTTGAGTCTATGTCTTTTTATTCTTCCACATCAGGAGGTCTTTGTGTTTGCGTTTTCCTTTTCAAAACAAGTTAGCATTGAAATTCAAGGACTTTTTCAACCTACTCTATTTTCAAGGACTTTCACTTGATTTTTAAAAGGATTTTCAAGTGACTTTAAGCTACAAGGAAGAACAAAAGTTGCTCTGAGTTGAAGACTGTGGTTTTCGCGCCCTAATAAGTTCATCAACCCCCATCTCCCCATTTTTTAATCTTCCACACAAGTATTCGAACTAAGGTCCATAAAATGGGTATTTAATTTAATTTATCGTGCTTTATATCGAATGGGTCTTCTTTACAACAACATACTTAGAATTTGAGGTCCGAAATCGGTCGAATTTACGGCGATCTTTTTATGGGGCGAAAATGTCACTATAAAACATTTGACTTAGACATACCATGACTTTCGCGGGAGGCACGCCAAGTCTCTCAGCAAGAGCAGTTTTCTCTGCTCGGTTTGGAAACATATTCCTTCGGAACAAAGCCTCCAGTTGCCATCTGTGCTCAGTAGTAAGGGTTATCCTGTCATTCCTCGACCAGGGTGGTGACGAAGGTCCAGTCACTGAGATAGGATCAGTGCGATTCGGGAGCAAATCTAAAGTGAAAAATAAATTATGTTATTAACAGCGTTATTGGTCTCGCTCTATAGTTTAAACATAAATCATCGCAATGAGGAAATACGATGTAACAGACTTGTGTTCTCGTGTGTAGTGGGGCTCTTTTTGTGAACACGCAAGCACGCACGACTCAATCCATCAATCTGCAAGCACTAGCCAAAATTTACTGCTAGACTCAAGCTAGACCTGGTTGTTATGTAGGGTTTATTACAAGTACTAAAGGTGAAAAACTTAGAAAACTTGAAAACTTTTAAAACTGTGGCTGTCACTTAGGGCTTTTTTGTGCAAAACAAACAAAATTTTGAGCAGTGCCAAGAGGGCCTTAATCTTTACAGCAATGGCCACTTTTGTAAAACATTCTCGTTCTTTTCACCTGCACTGACTAAAACGTAGAACCAAGGCGTCCAAGCCCCGATAAAACTTATGACCAAAGTTTAGTTGACTGAACCACACTTTGGGGCCCACCCGTCCTTGTACCCTCAAAAACCTCTTCTAGAGACGTCCAAATTAACCGTGTTGAATAATTTGATTTTTAAGGTTACCAGTCGTTTTGATACAAGTCGTTTCGATGCAAAGGTAAATAGTTTCGCGTCCTTGACTTTTTAAGAACGAAGAATATTTACCCAAAACAGATGTTTTTCTTGTTCACGCGCTAATGTTACTTGAAAAGAACGGAATTTTTGAGCAATTTTACAGTGTATCGAAACGACCGGTTTCCAGTTTTAATCTAAAATAGACTGTAACATCAAATCAGACTAAGCTGAATTCTAAAGGTGTACCTGTGAACTCTATAGCTGCTCCAGTAGCACTTTCATTTCACTTAATGAACTGTTTTCAAAGTCTAAAAATGCTCGCTTACCTGGACAGTTTTGCAACACCACAGGGTCTGATTCCCCGAAATCCAGACGACGACGCGATCGGTTGAGATCAGTTTTTTTTCGGCTGACGGTTAGTGGTTCGTCGAAGGTTAACTTTCTTCTCACAGATTCCACTGAGCTCATCTTGTACGTTAAAATGATGAAATAAACTTATCGAGATTACAGTTGCAAGCAGTTATGAAAACTGATAAAGTGAACTAATATCGCGCTTATTTATGTGTTTAGAAGGACGCGTGTTGTTTCTAAAGCTATTGTTTACAAATTGAAAGGAATTAAAAAGAACTTTGCATTATGGTTTAGATCCTTACTATCACACCTACTGGTTGATTTGTCTCACCTCATCATTGGCTTAAAATGGCTTTAAAGAACAATGATACATTTCATCTCCTACTTAAGAACACTATTTGAATTTATCACCTACACATTTTCATAAAAGTTTTTTTGTTGTGTCGAGTTGCGAGATGCTGAAATGCCTTTTTTTGCTTGATCGTTTACAGTTTGAAAAAATGAACTGAACGGCCAAAATATAACAGTTGTAAGAGAGGCATACATATGAGATCAACTTGCAACACTTAAGCGCGACAGCATAACGACACCGAAAACTTTCAGAAATGTGCGCAAACCATCGCTTCCTGTGAGTTTAGTCGAAATCGGCCGAGATCGCTCTCAAATCTCCTTCCGCGTGTGAAGCGCGCATGAAACGATGTCCCCCAAACGAGGCGGTTGGTCGTAGTCGAGAAATTTTTTGGAAGATGCGCGTGGTTTAAGTATTTCAACAGAAAACTTGTGATTTTCGTTTAACAAAAAGACTTTGTGACGATTGCCAAGTGTAATGAGAATAATAAAACGGAGTAATAAGTAGAGAACAACTGGATTTTCTGAATAGCAATAGAAATATCTCCTTCGCGATCACATCTTTCATATAAGCTAAAATGATGCACACGTCTAAAAACATTGACTTTTTTTTCTTTCCAAAAAGAAAAAAAAAGGAACAGAGTAATTTTTCACGTTTACCAACGCGCTGAAAAAGGTGTTAGAAAACCGTTAGTCAAGAGAAATCACACCTATCGAAACCACTGGAGCTTGATAGATCATGAGCATTCATTGAAATTAATTTGTGCATTCAACTGATGAATAATACGTCGATTTTCAAGTGAACTTAACGTAAATTAAACCAGAAAGAAAGATGGTAACCATTACTTGAAATCGCCAGTGCAACACGAGTTTTCAGTTTTTGTGCTAGGCCAAGAAGTGTGAAAAGAAAAAGAGTCAACGTTTTGTCATGTCAAATATCATTTTGATTAGGCCAGATTTGGCTATAAAATCGTATCAACTAATATACCATCTAAAATATTTCACCTCGTGAGCAGTGGGTGAAAGGTATCAAGCCTGTCCCAGGCGTTTAGACAGGATAGTTTTTTTATTTTTCGGGGGGGAGAGAAGCGACGACCGGAAATGCGTCTGTGTTCGCAGGCTACATGTCTGTTTCCATCGGATTTCCGCGCGCACTTAAAAGTTTTCGTTGTAAATCTTCCCGTGTAACATCTCCTTAAACTTGCGAAGCCAACTTTCAACACTGTGTTGAGCGAAAAATCTTCGAATCGTATTACGTCATTCTTACATCGCGTCGCTCTTTTAAAACGATCTAAAAGCCTGGAACAGGCTAGAGGTAAAAAAAACTGAGTGCAGATAATTTCATGAGAGGCGCTTGTTTTATGAGGTGGATTTTCGAAACTACGGTTCTACTACTCGTAGTTGCGTAGTACGTATGAAAAGAGTGAGAAAAAGAACAAAGTTGACTTTGTAGCACGTCAACTAAGTATTGAAAGGGCCGTTTATGGCAGGGAATTATGGAAAAGGTTGCAAATTAAGGAAATTCACATGCTTACTCAACAATTCTTGAAATTCAAGGCTTCGTTTATTGATTCTTTAGGTAAAAAGGTTATTATCATTTTCCTTACAAAACTTTGCAGTTCTTATTTGAAAAATTACCAAGCAAATTGATGCTCCCACCTCTAATAAGTTGAATCTATGAGAAATGTTGTATGTGATATAAATGAGTGTGAAATCAAGATCAACACTACAATAAATTTTATTATACCCTTGAGAGGGGACTGTAAACACAACACATGTGAAAGTGGTCAACTAAAATTATCACACCTTTCAAACATGAAACAGTGATTGAAAGTCACAACTAAATTGACATTATAATAAGATCTCATACCGAAAAAAAGGTCAGGTATTTATTACAATATTAAGAAGAAAGTGATGCACAAGAAAAGAGAAAGCACATGCCTCATTTGGTTTACGTTCTATCCATCCCAGGTACAGATCCCATTTTCTCTTTGGGCCTCTGTGTTCGTAATACCTGTCTTATCTTGGGCTAGATGTAGCCCAAGATGTAGAAGTAGTTACAGTCAAACCAGGTCAAGCGTTCCCGTCGCTAACTAACTAATAAATTCATTCACGGAAAAATGATTTCGTTTGTTGATTCAATAATCCATTCATAAAATGGATAATCCAATAGTCATATTTAGCCTCGATTCCATAATCGAATGTTGATTCGATTACTGTTTTTTGAAAAATTACACTCTCCACAAGTTAACCTCAGAATTTTGTTTTTTCCTCTTTTTTTTTTCTGAGAGTCGAGTGCTGACGAGTTCTGAAGTTCAAACCCAAACAAACTGTTTCATTTGATAATTGTGTAACGATATAAGCGTCAGTATATAATTCAATATATCAGCTTGAAATTTTAGTCATAATCTTGTGTTAAACAAACAATGATTGAACACAACAGACAAGAATAAAGAACTCTTTTTTTTGTTTGAATGGTAGTTGGACAACCAAACGAAATCACTTAATGGATGGGTTTGTTAGCGAAACGCTATGGCCAAATTGATAGGCAAACCTTAGTGGACAGCCACTTTGTCCTTATTATTTGATAATTGCCTAAGCTCGGCACTTTTCAGCATATCCAAAAAAACAACGAAGCTTATTTGTGCACAATGGTAGACAACCATAATAAATCGGATCATGGAGCAGGTCTACTTTTATCTCATGACATTAAACAACGTATATTAAGTACTTCATGTGCCATTGGTTGATCTAGGTAATGTTCCAAAAGTTTCTTTAAAACTCCTTCAATGGCAGTTTTACCTTCCACTGGTAAAATCCTTGATCCAATGCCGGTAAAATTCAAAGTCAACCTTGGCACCTTACATGATAGAAACTTCTGTTTGTCATAATCATATCTTTTCCAGGAACCAACCCCTAAGTCAAATACATAAACAGGCTTTCCAGCGTCTATGGCCATTTGCACAGCCCATCCTGTCCCACCTTCAACTATTTTCCCGCTTGCACAGAGTTTACCAACGGCGAATACGCCATTAGCGTCTTTCACTTGATACCAGTTTCGGCGAAGCAAATTATCTACGAAACTTTTACTAGTCGGAAAATGTCTCTTTAAAGTTTTGTTAGCTTTGTGCAAGTGTTCATCGGCTTGTTTTAACTGAAAATCCGTTAAAACGACTCGAGCACTATTCCGTTGGCCATGACCCTCGAAGGAAAATGCCTTCACGCGGACGCCATATTTGGCACCCATATTTTGCCAGTACAAATCACTGCCTTGTGCACCCCCAGAGAAAAGAGTATAATGAATCGGATTTTCCAGGTAACTTTCCTCGATTCTTTGTAATGTTTCTTCGAGGGAAATTAACGCTCTTTCGTCCAGATCATCGCTAAGATGAAGATTACTTTCAGTGACCTCTTCGTTCGATGTGTTCGCCGTATCCGCCATTTTGTTTGGACGTTTCTGGACACCTTACCTGGAAACCTGGGAACGATGTTTGCTTGTTACTTAGTTCCCAGGACCTTCTCCGACATTTCTTGCTCCTTTTCATAATATTTTTTGGTTTTACGTAACTCGGGATGAATTTTGGTTAAAAACTTTTTATACTAGAATGAGGAGAACAATCCAATGCAAAAGCTACCTCTGGTGAAATTGTTTGAAAAAGGGAAAAATCTCTGGGAATGGGTTGGGAAGAGGGTGTTTGCAACAACCTGTACTCTGCACTATTTGGCAGGTGTTACACAGATTTTGGCCACGACCAAAATCGGACATGGAAAATTTAATCCGGTGCAAAGTTTTAGGCAACCTTTTACCTGATCCTTAAACAAATAAGATTCAACACACAAGGTTATCTTTCAACAAAATTTTATTGGATATTTGGGTACAAAGTGGATAGGAAGAAATCGAGGAGTGCATTGTAGCCATAAGATGAGACTCACATTTAACCAAGGTCGATGCAAGGCAACTTAATATGGCAGTTTATTTTGGCTCCTGTTTTAGTATCGAAAGGCACAAACACAAGCCTTGACACAGGTAATGAGCCATACTTGACTATAGCCAAAAGAAACAGAGGCAGGCCCCAGCTTCAAGATCGTGACCTGAAAGAATTTCCTAACCATGGGTTGGAATTTGCATGTTGAAGACAATTGACAATGGGACTGGGCCTACCCTAGGAGCAGAGGTTTCTTTCTTGCACGACTTTTAGCATTTGTAAAGTTGTATGCATGACTACAACAACTGACATATGACACTAACGACTTTGTAAATGCTAAAAGCCATGTCAGAAAGAAACCTCTGCTTACAGAGTAGACTGGACCCAACGCTACTTTTCATGTGAAGTTGTGATAAATGACTCTTTCCTAGACCAAGTTATGACATGATGAGTTGCTTTCAAATTTTGTAGGGGGCAAGGCTGTTACCATTCAAATGAAATCTCTTTGGCAGAACTTCTGCATGGTACTATTTAAATCTTAGGATTTAACAAAAATAAATGTATTAATTGTATTCTTTTGTGAATTTTTCTTTGGGTGCTATGAGAACAGGCTTGATTTCTGCCATACCCCAAGCCCCAGCTGGTAATCTAGCCTACTATGAGTAAAGTGAAAAAGGGCAAATAATACTCATATCAATTGCATTTGGAAGCAACAAAGTCTACACAATAAGCTTGGTTTTGCATTCAATTTTATTAAATACAAAAAGGTTGTTTAGGGTCAATAAGTTTAGAAATTTCCTGGTATTAAAAACAGTCTATGATTCCTGAAGCTTGCTTTTGACATTGTTAGCACTCCACCAGATCAACAAAGCTGCAACAACCGCAATAAACTCTGTCTGCACATAAAGGCCTTCACGTCCAGCTCCCTGGAAATTAGATTGGAAATATTCACACTTCTATTAATTTTGCTCATCACACATCTGTTATTAAAATTATTAGTTCTTAATTCGGGAGGGCATGTGGGCTCATTCCACCAACAGTGGCTGGTAATCAAGCCTAAATACAAACCAAACATATGCAAAACAAGAAAAACTAGAAGCTAACACTTTTTCGCCTACCCAAAGATTTTCAGAACTTCTTAGAGGATTTCAAGTATAATCATGATTGCTATCATGGTAGCGATTATGTTCATCACAAGTCTTTGGGTAGTAATGTTTTTGAACATAAACAAGACAATCTGATAATAAGTTAAATAAAATTACTTCCTTTGTTGATCTCTGACAAAAATCTGTTAAGTTCCGTGGAAAAATATCTCTTGGATTTTAAACTTTCTTCCTTTCTTTTTTTTGGGTTTTTTATCTCAGTGGGGTCTCAGGGACTGGTGTGGCTCACCTTATGATTAACATCAATTGTGAATAAAGGCTTTGCCTCACTAACTGTTCCGCTTCTTTGTGCCTAGAGAGAGCAACAGTAATTTTGTGTCACATGTACATGTAATAATCATACAGTTAAGCCTTTCTAACTTGCACACGAGTAAATTTGAGCTCTCTGCTGTTGAGTCCTAGTGGTCAGACAGTTTTTAGTATATTTTGTAATCACCAACTCTCATTGGATTGACAGATTAATATACAAGTCATCACGCACTGGACTCAATCTTCCAAAGCCATAACTTGAGAAAACAGTTGATATTTCATGAAGCTACCGCTGGTTTCCCTGGGAAATGGCATCTTATTGCAGAGAGTGTCACTTCCCAGATCTGGATAGTACTTCTGATTGGTTAAAGCAAATTTCCCTCGTGGCACAACCAGTCAAAAGTACCACCCAGATCTGGGTAGTGACACATTATCGGCATGAAATTTCTGCACTTATTCTTCAGAAATCATTTTGTGGACAAGCTATTGGCGGCATTGCAAAATGTGCGCTTTTTTATGTTTTTGTTTTTCAGGCTGACAAAGCCAATCAACAATACTGTTAGTTTTTTTATTATTATTTTATTTTACATGAGTTACAATACTGGGAGATAAACACCATCAAAGGAAAGTACAGCTGCCCAGAAAGGTTTATCAACTGCCACGGTAATTTAAATATTTATTATTATGGCCTACAATGTCCATCAAGCTGACTAGCAACTCCAAATTTAAAAATGACCACTGTATTTTACAATGAAACAATTGGTTAAAACTACACAAACAAAGCAGAACACTTAACTACCTGGCTTACAATAATATTATTGTGAGTACTCAGCACAAGTATCTTTTAATTACTGTATCATTGTAACAACAATTTTTTAAAGTAACAATCACGATACCTTTCTGAAAGCAGCAAATCCTTCATCATCATAGAAGTTTACTGAGTACACACCAGCTTTGGCTTCTTTGTGTGTTTCTGCCCAGCTGACCTTCAGAGAAAACCAAAACAGACATGTGTTACAAGCAATACAGACAAATCAAAATACCAGAATAGAAGACATGACCATTCCAAAGACACATCAGGATGCTAACAGTGTAATCATGAGTAAATTCTCAGGGTAGCTGATTCACATTCATCACACAAGTCTTTGGATGGTTGTACAGTATTGATTTCATGTGTTAGACTATAGAGCCTCTGTATGGGTACTTGGGGTGGTAATTTTCATTGGTGTTTTCTATCAAATTATCAGTTTTGCAATGAAATCAACGAGAATTCTTTTACATGGTAACGCTACTAGTGAGCTCAAGCAGACATAATGACGGTGAAGGAAACAAGAAAATAAAAAAGCATCGTTTAATGAGCAACAAAAACTCTGAACATGTAGCAAACTTGTTGCCAGATCTCTTTGCTATCATCACACAACTGACGTTGTCAAACTTGATTGAAATGGCAGTGTGATTGTCGGTCTAATCTCAAAGATCATCTATTCATTAATAGTGATGTTGCGAATTTGATTTTGTGGGAAATAACCATGAAGACTTTCACAGTAGCGTGGAGACTAACCTGATACTTGGCATCATCTGAGGAAATGGTAACGGGCATGACTTTTCCATTAACTTCGGCATATAAGTTCACATTCTGGGATAAAAGCAGTAGTCAGTGTTATTGTCTAGAATGAATAACGGTATTTCATCATGGATGATTATTTTCTCCATTTTTAAACACTTTTTTTAACAAAAGTATGCCACACTCAAACCTTTGATCCATGAGGAACCGACTACCATCCATGTCTTTATTGCACTACATTCAAACCCTACTTTATGGACACCCACCTAATATGGACACCCACCTAATAAGGACACTTCATTACTATGGACAGTTTGGTTTCAGGGCTGCCAACCCCCCCACAGCATCAAATATTGAGAATTGATAGGGAAGGAATGATATATGACATAATATTGCACGACAAATGAAGTCATTTGTGCAAAAAATGTTCGTTGATTCCAATCGATATATATATATAGCACATAAACAGTTCATATTTAGCCACATTATTGCTTAAATTACAGTGCATACCCGAATTTATGGGGAAACGTTCCATGTTAACAGTAGCTCAAACGACAGAAAACATTTGAAATTTTATGGTTGGAAACTCGAGTCTACAAGAAATATCAACTTCGGGTGATTATCCGGGAGATATCAGACTCTAATTTGGAGACCGGGAGAGTTGACAGCACTGGGTTTGTCCCTGGGGAAAGAAAGCCCTTAGATTTTCTCTAAATTCAACCCGCTTAATACCGTCACCCCATTAACACAGACACTTTCCATAACCCCCTCAGTGACCGTATTAAGGGGCTTTGACTGCATTTCCAGAAGAGCTGTCTGTCTTGGTTGTTGCACACTACAATCACAATGCATTAATTTATTTTCTATATATTTTCTATTTCTATACCTTTGCATTATTGTCACATTTGAGGGAAAATTCAACGATAAATACACTTTCTGTGGAGAGTAAGATATTCCTTGTAGAGTAGATTTCAGGAGTTGGTTTTGCTCCAACACAAGTATCACCTAATCAAGATAAAAATACAGAATGTGCTGATCAGCATGGTACATTTTAAATTCCCATATTTCTTATCGAGGAATTAACCAGGTTAAGAGGGGTTATAGTGCTAGAACGCACTAAAAATAATAGTTTCTTAGAAAAATTGTGCTACGTGCTAGGGACCAATAATTGAGTGCCTCGTGGAATTGAACAAAAGGAGGAGAAAATTCTCATTTACTCAACAAAACTGAAATTCTGTTAAGACTCTTTGGGTGATTAAAAAGTTGAACTAATTGTTTCTGTAAATCATGGCTTACCGAGCGAATTCAACGGCGCAAAAAGCCCTAAAACCAACAGAACAATGATGGAAGCCGCCATGATCTTTCCTTCCACGCTCAAAGAGAAAGAATGTGGAGGATCACGTGGTACTCAGCCCCAGTACCTCGCGAAAAAATTATTGAGCCGGGAAATAACTGGCCAGCGGATAATTTCGAACATGAAGGTAAAGAGAGTGAAACATGCAAGAAAATACTTAACTTTATTCAAGAATTCCTTTGGAATATTCGAACCATACCAAATATTAGGTAAGCAGATATATTAAGCATTATTTATTCTACGATTCTTCGCAATTTGAAGTGATTTGTACGTTTGCCGTTTTCGCAATCGTGAAAAGTATATTGCCACATGGTCTCACTTGCTACTGTGTTGAATTCTGCAGTTGATGGTACATTCTGCCAAGCAGCCTTACAGACTAAAATAAATATCAAGGAACAGCTTCCAAAATACCTTGATGGGACCATTCAGTTATGTATCCTTTCCCACTATATTTTAGAATGGAAGACTTAAAGTTAAGGGAAGCTATTAAATCAGCTGATAAGTACATGACTGCATGTATTTGATGAAGTACAGTGAAAGGTTTTAACCCAGGATTTATGTCATAAAATAGGTGGAATATGATCGTCCGAGTGAGTGTAGTCCTGAATAGGACTGTCGATGACAGTCACTGATGTTTTGACAACTGTGCACAGGTGTTAAAAAAATGTTGTGGCTGGCGCCGGTCAAGTTGTCGGGGCAAACCTGTTTTTGCTTGGACACAACTTGTTTTTGGCCAGACAGTTACAAATATTTATTGTGACATATTCTCTATAAAACTACATTTTTGATCTATCAAAAGGGTAAAGGACCGGACAAAGTATCTGGTCATCCAAGGATTTGACGGGACAAAGCTTACTTTTGACTGGACATTTTCTGTTGACCGGCTGTTATTTCAAGCCCTGGTGTGGTATTCAACTTTCAGAGCCAAAGTGAGTTGTATCACATCAGTTGATGGTATTAAACTCTGGTTATTGACCTGATTGGTCAATTGGTCAGTTAACTGGCATTGTTATTGGTTGTCTGTCATTTACACCGTAAGCCTTGATGTTATTGGGATTGTAGACTCTAAAAACAAACACACAATGAACTCTAAGCGAAAAGAAAAAGATGATCACTGTAAGGTTAGTGAGAGTCTTGTAGCTGATGGCAATGTGGGCTAACTGACCGAGGACAACAGTGTAGAGCTAAAAAAAATCATGTCTGGTCGTTTGGAACAGGTATTTTTGTTGCTAATGGGCAAGTATAAAACTTTAAATGTTTCCTTTGTCATATTGGGTAGTTGCAACTTCATCACCAAGACAGGCATGCAGTTTAAGTTGGAAATTCAAGTTTTCAAGATCTGTAACAATGTACAGGCTAAACGTAAGCCTCCAATAGTCTTCACTGGTCATAAAGCGCATTTCTATACAGACTGTCAAAAGATCACCCACTGTGAAAACAACACATCTTCTGAACACTGTCAGAGTAGTATTACAACTTTGTCTTATGGACCTGAATGCTTATGTGTATGGGATTTATTGAGATAAAAGTTACTTAACGAATTATAAGCAACAACAAGATGCGTGATAGCTGAAGGAGAAGCTCTTGGCCCTCAGCTGTCTGGAGCTGTGCTTATTGCAAAGAGATTTCATTTACGAAATTGTGGTCATCATAAAGCTGCTGTCCCAGCTACGGAATGTATTAAAAGTATGATAGGTAAATATGACTCTGAATTTGTTTGTGAATGTTTACATGAACATTAATTTTCTGCTTCTCTCCAATTGCTTTAAACCAATCTTTTCCCTGCCAGTAGAGGTCCGTCATGGCAAGAGAAAAATGATACAAAAGAGAGAGACCTCTGCCGGCCTTTGATACATTTTCTGTCATGTATGTACTTGCATTTCTTTAACAACCAATAACCTTTTAGTCATGTGCAACACAACTTACAACAACTACTGTGGGATCAGAAATTTCCAGCATGAAGTCTTAACAGAGCAAGCAGAAACCACATCAAATGAAACCGGTTTTGAAAACCAGTGAGTTTCAATCACAAATGTGGTCGGCAGCTATATGAAAGAATGTGTCAGGGGGCAGCAGTGATCTCTCTCTTTCCTCTACATCTTCTCTTGCTGTAAGAGACCTCTGCTAGCTGGGAATGAAATCTGTCCTGGTGGTGGAATAAGCAGTTATTCACACATTGGTCTGATTTCAGGTCCTGTTTTCTCTTTTTTCAAGGAACCGAGAATCCAAATGGTTACTTTGTTGCATCACAAGACAGAGATCTAAGACAACATTTGCATACCGTTCCAGGTACATATTGTGTAGCTCTTTTCTCTTCCTGCTACTCTGTATAGTCAATTGGAAGCCAAAAGGGAATTCAAGTTGTAATTTGAACTATCTACATCTTTCTCTTCTAAGATTTTTTTTGTCAAAAAAAAAGGTAAACTCCTGAATTTCATTAAAATACCTGGGAGGATTTAGGATTATTATAAAAGGGTTGAAATAAACAACATGTAAAAGAGAGAGTAGCTTGGGGGTCTGGGGACCAGCTCCCTTAGAAAATAGGTGTGGTTTCCAGCGAGATCAAAGTGTTTGCTGAAAGTGAAGGGAATTTTGGTCATTTTAAAATAATTTTTACTAGTTTTTTGTATTAGTTGTAGGTTTTAGATATTACAACTTCAGCATGGGGGATTCGTTGAGTTTCCCCCTGCCTCCAGCCAAGCCACCTTTAGATCTGCCCCAGATAATGAAAGCAATGAGAGGGAGGATCATCCGTACTGAAGAGCTGTTTCATTGGTGGTGCTTTCCTGATACTGAAGGCTATTTTGTCTTACTGGTAAATTGTAGACTCAAAAAGACTGTTTGCAAACAGTACAGCAAAATACCCAGTGCTTCAAGAAAGGGCACCTTTTGTGGGTATGGTGAGAGCTGTAAGAGCCATCATGCCAACATGCCTTCACATTCTTTTTGTATCCATGATTAATGTATTCCTTTTTTAGGGGTGCCTCTTCTTTTCATCAATCATAACACCATACTCTTGGAGAAGCCTTCATCTGCATCCTGCCAAGCCTCAGATAAGGTTTGTTATGTGTTGGAATTAAGGCATTTGCCTGATCAGGACTGTCAATAAGGGCCGGTAGCCGGCCAAAACCCCTGGCTAGTTAGCCACCCTTATCCTTAGCCTCTTGAAAACCCCTGGAAGTGGCATTTCCAAGACTCTAAATTTCAAAATCTCCCTAGATGCCTCACCCCTAAGAAACCTGTACCTTTGGTGCTAGTTGAACCAAATTAAGCCGCCTACTATTCATTATCAGCGGGCTACTTAAAAACTTTTTGACAGCCCTGCATGATGAGATGATTTTACCACTACGACCAGAATCCTTTACGTTCTTTCTTTCATGTTCGAATTTGGTAATCCCGCAAGGTAAATAACAAAAGTTCAAATTTGTACCAAAAGAGCAAAACCCTGAAGGATTCTGGTCGTCGTAGTAAAATGATGTCATCGTGTCAATGACCTATTGTCCTAACTAGTACACAAGAACAGTATGAACACATCCCCATTGTGGGTATGAAGTGTGGGTAACCTTCTTTGTCCCAAGAGTGATCAAAATCAATTTTCTCCTAAGAAAATCAATACACAATCAAGAGATTAGGTTATAAGAATCAACAAAATCATCACCAAAGGGAAAAGACTTTGGTTTTTTATCATATTTTCGCAACTAGTTCTTTGAAGAAATGCATGGAGATCAGTCTGGGGAATGGTGGTGTATATCTGAATAATCGTGGACAATAAATCCTGACCATCCCAAAGGAACAAATCTATAGTTGACTGATTACCGTTTCTGTTACTTATACCATTTGCTCATTCTTTTTTAGGTTCAAATTTCCCGTCTGGAGCCCTCTAAACACGAAAAAGAAACACTCGAAAAACTGAGCGAAACCTCAACAGAGCTAAAACCAAGGCGAAAGCGTAAACGGCCTGGAGGACCTAATCCTCTGTCAGTTCTCAAAAGCAAGAAAAGAAAATATGATAGACATAGTGGTTCCGAGGATATCAAGGTAACTAGAAGTTGTTTATGTTCACAGCACTCATGCAGGGGCTTTGCTCTCGAGGTTATGAAACAGCGGAAAGTGAAAACACTCTCCAACTAACAACTTTTATAGTTTACTGCGAGGATTACTCGGTTTTTTGACTGGTTTTAGGCATTAGGGGAAAACTCAGACTGTTACTAACAGATGCATCTCGTAAATGCCGAATGCCTGCTTGGAAATGTTAACATCTTTCCCCGTGGTTAGGTGCTGTGTGCATTTTTTCCTGCGCGTGAGCCGGCATGTATTGGCACTCACTCCTACCAAATAACGCTTGCACCGATTTCGTGTGCTCGTTCCCACCACTTAGCAACGGTTGCATGGTAACCGTTCATGTTCGTCGTGCTCTGCATTGGTTACATTGGTTTCCCGCCCTTTTGCACGCTTTGCACCGACTGCATACTTCACTGCACGTCGTTGTTCAGTCTATCCTGATCCAGACCCAATTCTTTTTCTCATAGAAAAAGCGAATTCGTAAAAGAAAACGAAAACTGGCGAGGCACGTACTGGAGGCTATTCAAGAGCACACCGCAACAACATTGTGAAGACGACAAACACCAATAGTCTTTGAATTGAACTCAGACTTTTCTCATTGCAGAAAAATGGTCAACACTTCAAGAATTTTAAGTGCATCGCTTATTATTTAATACCAGCAATGCCGAAGATGTTTGTAGTTTCTGATCTCTTCCAACAGAACATAGCAGTATAAGTTCTTTTCGATTCATTCGTATTTCCCGGTACAATATGAACACCTATCCGATGTGAATCTCCACTTTAGAGAGCGGCGTGGCTTGGCTTCGCTCCGTTACAGAAATCGCCCCGGAAATGAGCACTGTTCGTATGTGTGAACAGAATTTCTATCCGGTATGGTTTTCGTGCCGGCGCGAGAGCTATCCGGTATCGAGGTGTGAACAAAGTCTTTGTTGAAAACCTTTTTAACGCTTGTCAAATTAGGTCAATATTTCTTTGCGAGAGATGTCTTTTTAATAGTGAGGCTAATCAATAAAATAGAACTCATATTGCTTTTAAATCACACGGGACCACTATTTATTAATTAAACTGCCGATATTACAGAGTGATTTTAATGTTGCCGCAGGCCACTTCTTTCAGGAACTTTGAAAGTTTGGAAGAGTTTCTCGCTTAAAACACGTTAGGTTGTTTGACGCTGCCCAAGAAAGTCTTAACTTACAAAGACTTTCCATGAACGTGCCTGACCGTCAAATTTCAACAATGCAAGATATATTTTTTACGTAGATTTCGGCCGCAATTTTCACTTTTATCATTTAACTTTAAAGAGAACACCGACTACAACGCGGAAATGCACGTACACAGGAAAACATGATAAGTATTCGCATTACTTTTCAAGACACGGAACTTTGAGATGAATTAAGTAATCCATCTCATAAAAGCTTTGCAACAAAGTTTTCTATGTGGAATACGCGCTTAGTAAGGGCAGACGTTTTTGTATAGTATTAAACAGTTATTTAATAAACTGCCGTTTATTCTCTTTTATTATTGGATTTTTGGCTAAACAAAATCTCATTTATGGCTGAGGATTTGACATCCTTATTTTGAGCAACTTAAGGCTAAAAATGTTTCTGTGGTATTTGAAAATTCCGTGTACTTTTATTTATAGAAAGATTGCGTGCCGTGGAGAGTATAAGAGTGTAATTCGCCGATATACGGCATTTCTTGAATAGTTAAAATATCCACTTTGTTGATGTTTTGAGCAATCTGTGATCAATCTCATCCTCAATGTTCTTGAACCAAAAATAAGGAAAGATGAATGTTGACTTGATAGAAGTCTATGATTAGATCATACGCGGCATAAACTAACTCATAGGCATCCTACGTCTTCCATCACTCAGGGAAGAAAATGAATTTACCTTGTAAAAAAATAATTATGTATGGAAATCGAATTTCGTGATCGAGAGGAAGAAATTCCATGAGGCATATTTTGAAAGAGGTGAATCAAGTCTCTCTTTTTTCCCCCTTTTTTCTTTACAGTTTTTCAAATAATCACTTAGAAGAGACAATCTTTTTTTTCTTTTGCGAGCGAAGCGAACTGCTCTTATTACTGAATTTTATATTGTTCCTTGCGTCGAATCTCTAAGTTCCTGAAAGATACTTAATTTGGGGGACACTTAAGACCTGCAGTAAAAACAAATCTCGCCAATATTTGATGTTTCCCTTCTGTTGATAGTGAAGTTAATTATCTGCTGGGTGTTTGTCAACATGGAGATGTTCGCTTTTGCCCGAAAACACAGAAACAGGATCGTTATTTTTAATCTACATGTAGTTTTGTTACTTTTTACTGCGTTCTGTACTGAGTCCGCTTTTTTTGTTTGTCTAGTTCATTTTTCTCTTTTCTGTCTTTTTCTTGTCCTTTTTTTACGGGCCAATGTTGATGGTACATGTAGTTTGGAACTCCCTGAATTTGTGTATAAAATTATCAATTAGTTGCTTTTGTCGTTCAAAGTTATCGTGTAAATTCACAAGGCTAATATTAACAGGTTCATTTTGGAAAGGCTAAGAAAGAAACACAGATAAGAGATAATAAAGATAAGGACTGAGATCGGAGATTGCGAAATAAATTATACATTTATTTCACCATTTAAGTTTGGATATGCGTATAGCCATCTCATTTGCCCACTGGAAATCTTTTTATTGGTTTTAAGCTCAAAAACAAAAAAATCCCAACGATTAAATGCGACAGACCTATTTAAAAATCCAAAAATAGAATTTGAAGTCAAAAATAATCTTTAATACGTTATAAATAGCTTGCTTTCCACATTGAGTGCTCTTACTACACTTGACTGACTTGAGTGTGACTTTAGTAGTAATGTTGGACTTAGAATTTTTAGTAACATCTTTCTTGTAGCAGAATGCAACGATTAAACATGCACGTAACTGTCACTGATGATTTTTCCTGAAAGTTCTCTAGATTTTAACAAAGCAGTAGTAAACGACTTAAATGGCTTTATGATCATAGTTGATGAATTTTATTTTCGTTTATATTTCATGTTTTCGTGATTAATTATATCAAACAGTTAATCATTAAATCAGTTAATGGATTTGTCGATTGCAAAACAACACAATAAATCAGTCAATCAATCATTCAATCAGACAGTTAATTGTTTGATAGATCGATCGATCGATCAGAAGCAAAGAAATAGGTCATTAGTCGTACTCGGCTCTAAGACACGGAAAAACGAAACATGACGGATTATTTATTCAACCTGCATGAATAAATGGGCCAGAACCTCGTTGCGATTTTATTATTATTATTATTATTATTATTATTATTTCTCAAAGCCTTGGAGCCAAAACAAAACAAAAACTAAAATGCAACGAGCCAAGTATTTATTTTTCTGTGATTTTAATACATCGAACTTCAGCTTTTATTTAATTGGCAGCGACTAACGAAGTTAATTCTATCAAAAACTGACAGAATTCAAGGAAATTTCACATTTCTTTTTTGAAACACTGACAAACAAAAAGTCATTTTACTACATGAAAGGCTCCAATTAGTCTTTCTAAAGAAGGGGCGCTTTTAGAGATTCAAAAGTGAAAAGAAACCACAATGCAGTGTGCACTTAACATCCAAAGGCTTCAGAAAAAGCTGTGAACTTTTCATGGCTATTTAAGGAAGGAAGACCAAGGGTTTTAGGCAGAACGTGGTCGAAGAGATTTCCTGTCAAAACAACAGTATATCCTGACATAACAACTCCAGCTTGATGACTGGTACTTGGGACAAAATTTACATATTGGACTGCGAAGCGTTTTATGTGTTTAAAAATGTTCAACTAACTTGGTCTGAAATGAATCCATTTTGTGAAATTACAAACGCCATATATTGTCTGGTTTTGAATTAATCCTTTGGAGCAGTGAGCTTATGGAAAATGTTAGATCAGTGCGTTAGTAGTGACTGAAGAGACTTGTATCTTTTGTATTTTAGAACAATAGCACAACACTGAAAGAAAGACAGAGAGATGGAAACAAATCGCACGCGTTCCAATTTTGAACGGTTGTGACGTCACTTCCTCCTCGTCGTTAACATTGTCCGACATTAAAGGAGCTTTGGACGTTAACCGGAAGTAGACTTTTTACATCATTGAACAGTGGTTTGGCTCAAACTCTCGGGTAAATCGTCTTTATAAGAGAAAAGAAACTTAGCAATACAAATTTGTTATCGTCAAGGCATATAAAAAGGGAGAAGGTCTCACTTCCGGTTTACGTGCGTCGCTCAAAAACACAGTTGCTTAAACTCCCTAATAATCGATTTCGTGCATACCTCCAAGCGCGCCTGCAAAACTTCCTTCTGATATCTCGAGAGCTTACATAATTGTCACGAAAATTTACGTGACACGCTTAGCAAACTACGGTCACGCTAGACCGACAGACAAGTCTGAGCGTGTCTGTGACGCATCGATTATTTTTCGCGCCAAAACTTCTAATAGCGGAAGGTAACAAAATGGCGGGAACTATTATATCAAAGACGATATTCGAGATCGTTGGTTTCAAAATATAAATAATTGCCTCAAAATTTTAAGAAGACTGGGAATTGTTCTGATATGATATTAACCTGGTGAAATAGAAAAACAATGGATAGCTAATTGGAAACTACGAAAAGTTAAATATGGTTTTCAGGATTTGAAACGATTGTCACAGGCATTGGCCGAAAATTTGGAATAAATTCACTGTGACTTTAAATAGCTCCTTTAAGTCACGTTCCTATCTGTTATTTGACCTTGTTGAATTTTACTTTATTTTTGATTAAAGGGAGCAGATTACGTGAATACCTTTTTGTTCTTTGCCTTGGTGAAAACGTTTGGTGGAACCCATGCTGGGATTATTTCATGATTTGTTTACGTAAGATTTACCTTGGGACGAAAATCGTGCTAGTTCAGGTTGTCTTTTTTTGTTTCAGTTTCCCGAGAAAATTAAATCTTAATATAAGGTAGTTGTCGATATTGTTTTATCTTAAAACCACGTTGAAGAAAACACCGTTTTATAAAACAAGAATTAATTATCATTTAATATGTTACGGGTTCGTGTTCGGCCAAGGGCAGAATAATTGATATGCTATTTGCGTTTGTTTGACAGTACGTGCAGGTGATAGCATGTGATGGCCCAAGAAAATTGAATTTGAGCAACCGTGTTTGTTTTTCATTTTCGTATTCTTTATGAAAAAATGGCTTACTTTCAGTTTCCTGCCTTAGCCGATTCGGAGACAGTCTGGAATTCCCAAGGCATATTTCTGACCTTGGCATTTATTGGACTTGTCACAACATCACGTATTAGGCTACCCCTCTCAGAAAACGAACATCATTGTTGTGAATTTTGTTTTCTTGTTCGTATTCTAGATGTAAAAATTGCTAACATTCAATTTCCTTCCTTATCCTTATCAGAACGTTAGTGTTATTACGAACCTTTAGTTTCCTTAGTTTAACTTCCCAGTAATTAGTAACGCGATTTCCCTTCTTTATACAGGATGTCCATGAGCTCCACAACGAAGCGTGCCCAGTTTGTTTTAGTGTTCTGTTAAACAAATTTTCCTCTGTTTGTTTGTGCTGTAGTTTTTTTTAAAAAATCAGTATTTGGTTGAGGGAAAGCGTGTTTTTCTCGGGCGAGGTGTTTTATACTGAAGCGGTGAAAAACGGATTTTATCGTACCCCCTCCTCAAGCCGAAAACTAACACTTTTATTTTCGACCATTGTTTTCTCGGTAAAAAACAAAAACAAAAATATCAACGAAGGGTCTATCACTCTGAAGCTTTTTGTTCATTGCATTTCAGTTAACATCTGTGAGAACACACCCCTCTTTCGTAGTAGTTTTCGGAAAAGACAATAGACTTAATTAAACGCTATGTAGAGTCAAGTTCCACAGCAAATTTCTGCACCGGCAACTAAATTTAGTGGAGCACCTGTTTCCGTCACTTCCGCAATAAACACATCAGAGGCACGTACAGCCGCACTGTCACGTGACTGAAGGATTTTAGACGTGATCGTTTTTCCCAATATCAAACTGAAAGGAAAAGGGATGAGAGATTTTTCTAAAGAAGACGCCGGGGAAACTATACTGATTTGAATCATCAAAACTTATGGAGCATGAAAGATAAGGGTAAAACCCTACTTTTCTTCAATGATTCCTTTCACCTTGCTTCCTGGATATACTAAGGTCAACTTGTTATATTATGTCAACTCATTGTTTCAGAAATTGTCAACTTTGCACCGTTAATACTATTTAATACGTGACTGTTTTTTACCATTTCCGATGACCACTCGTCTCTGTTGATATTAACGGCTGTGA